GTGCAGGAACTCATTCAGCGTGAGGTGGGGGGCGTCGAGGAGGAGGCCGCGGAGCTGTGCGTGGTGCTGCAGCAACTGCCAGGCTTGCGGGCGGAGCATCAGCGGCGCATTGAGAACTTTCTGCTGCCCAAACTTCGTGGGCGTAGTGCTCAAGCCGGCTGAGCGGAATCGTGGTGCTGCGGCCACGGCTGCTGCCTCCTTGCTGCCGCCGCGTCGTGGACCCTCCCGTCTTCCGGCGCCCACTCACTCACTCACTCACTCACTGCACGCCACAGCCATTGCCCTTCTTTCATAGCTCCAGCTGCCCGTGGCCGTTGCCGTTGGCTTCTTCGACACGAAGTTTACTTCCCTCTGCACTGCGTCACACCCACGAACACACACACACACACACACACACACACACGTGCCCCTTCACTTACCTCCGTTGTAGGGTGCCATGTCTCTCTCTCTCCCTCTTTTTTTCCTATGAGAAGCCGTAGTCGGGTGGTGGTGTAAAGTACAAAAGAAGAACAACAACAACAACGAAAAACGAGCAATAATAAGAAGACGAAACAACAAGCGCAAAACAGCTGAAGCAAGCTGAAAACGGGGCCTGCGTGCCGCAGTACTCCACAAGCGTAGGCGCAGCGCAATCCCCAGTGGGGGAGGGTGGGGAGGGAACTCGTAGAAAGGAGACCAGCGGGAGGGGCCAAAGACATGCTCCGATGTGTGCGGCTGCTGCGCACGCCGTTTAACGAGCTCACCCTCACTGGAAGTTGCTGGTCCCGCTTTTTGGCGAGGCCAGTGCAAAAGTCCCCTGCCGCGACCTCCGCCACGGCGCCGGTGCCGTGCATTACCCTCATCCCCACCCTCCACGTGGCGTCGGTGGAGTTCTACGACACGCTGCTGGACTACATGGTGCGGGCGGTGAAGGAGCAGGAAAACGCCATCATTCTGCTGGAGGGGATTTGCGACACGGAGGAGAGCGAGGTGCAGCAGATGGAGGAGTACTTCGCCATCGCACACAGCGAGCAGCTGAAGGCGGAGATGCTGCAAAAGGCAGACCAGAACACCCTTTACGATGAGGAGACGGTAAAGGCCATTTGCGAGGAACTCGCCGTGAATTACGAGGCCCTGTCGAAGCAGCAGTCGACGGTGCGGCTGCAGGAGTGCTACCTCAAACCAAAGATGGCGGCCCTCGTCGGCTCGCACCTCCGCAACGACGCGGATCTCAACATGAGTGAGGTGGAGGCGATCCTGGCGGAGGAGGGCAGCAGCACCGGCAGCGTGTTTGTTCCCTTTAGCCAACTCGGCGCCAACCCGGCCGTGCGCCGCAGCCGTGAGCGGAAGGTGGCGAAGGCGGCCCAGATGCGCTGCGTGGAGTGGCTTCAACGGGGGTGCGGGGGCGAGGTGCTGTTGCCGTGGGGTTTCTACCACGCGGAAGGAATTAGGAAAAACATTTTGGCGTCAAACGCGCACGACGAGACCGCTGTGTTTCTGGAGAGCGAAGATAAGGTGTGTCGTGTGCCGTTTGGCATCAGCAAGGAACTCTTGGCCTGACGAGGGTGGGGCGTCGGCCGCTTCGTCTCGGCCGCGTCGTTTCGCTTCCTCGCCCTTGCTGGGCTCATGACCGGTCTGTGTTTCCGTGCATTCTTCACGCCCACTAGAGAGAGAGAGAGAGAGAGAGAGACGCAGACGGGCACACACAGTCCACGCCGCGTCATCCGCGCTTCTCCGTTCTTTGCTCCCTTTTGCCTCTCTCCGTGGGTGGCCCGAGCCAGCCCCCCACGAGGGCGTCGGCTCGCTCGCGACACGCCCAAGCTGCCTTTCAGACCGCTTAACTGCTTTGCTTTTCCTCTTTGCTTTTTTTTTTCTTCTCTCTCTCACCCTCGTCGGTATCCGCACACAAGAGGCAAGACTCATTTAAGCACCCCTGTGTCTATCCTCGTATACACTTATACGTATATCTTATTACTAATATTCTTTCTTACCTAAGACGTTTCCCTTTAATCGTATTTATACCTAGCACAGCACTACGGGCCACTGCCCCATTTTCTCCGCGTGAATGGGGCTCTGCTGTGGCAGGAGTGCGCTGCCGGTGGTGGATGACACGGGGCGGAAGCACCGCGCCCTGCACCCGAAGGTCAGCGTCCCTTCGCTGCCCACCGTCGAGTTTGACGTCATCGCCCCTGAAGGCACCGTTGACTTGACGTTGAGTATGGTGCGCGGGGGCGGCCCCGGCGCGGCCTTGTTCTTGGACGACAGCCTCCACACCGTGAGCGAGTTCAGCCTCACCTTGGCCGACTACAAGGGTCAGAGTCTCTCCGGCACGCTGCGCGATGAGGCGGGACGGAGCCTCGTGACGAACGGACTGAGTGAGGTGCTGCCGGGGCATGTCGAACACTTCGTTTCCCGCCTCTTGGAGATGACGAATGCGGAGCCTGTCAATATTCTCGAGGAGAGTGTTTGTGCCGCCTCCATCTCCACACTCAACCAGACACGCCGCTCCCGCTATCAAAGCGGGGGCTCGTTCGCAAACGCACTGACAGCGGAGCAGAGACTATATATGGATAAGGCACGTAGCACGGAGGAGCGCATGGCGCGCCTGGTGGAGCTTGAGCAAACGTCGCGTAAAGATATATGCAGCGCGTGGAATATGAACAATACAATGCTCTTTCTGGGGTGGAAGGGCGCGCTGCCGACGCTTCGTCGGCTACGTGACGGCCCCCAGTCAAGGAAGCGCAAGGCGGCTCGGGAGGTGCTTGTCATACACGCCAAGGACATTGACCTGCAGCTGGAGGAAGATAGGCCGCGGGAAAATGGGGCTGCCTACGAAGGGGCGTTGGGTCGCCGGCGCGAGGGCGACGAGGGCGGGGTCACGTTCTCCCCCTGCGAGGCAACCGAGGCGGCTTCGCGGCCCAAAACGGTGGCGGAGCACTATCAGCTCTTGGCGCTTACGGCAACCGAGGTTAGCATCACGGCCAGTGTCCAGGCCCAGGTTGTACACGAGACGTGGGACTTCCTCTCACTGCCCGAGGCCGCGAATCACCTTAACACGGGGAATGTTTTCTTTAGATTTGTATGTAGTCCTGTCCGGCACCTGCAGAGGGAGAGTCTTGAGCTCATCGACACCTTTATCAACGTGAGCAGCTTTGTCGATGAGGTGCAGGAGAACAACGTCCCCAAAATTGACATTTTTCTGCCGGATGAGCAGGACAAGTACGTGAGCATCCTGGTGAAGACGATGTACCTCCTGCCCGGGATTCGCCTCGCCCAACTCAACGTTGACCTGCTCTCCTCGCTGGACTACCAGCGCAACTGCCAGCCAGGGAACAACAAGTTTGAGAACCCGGAGGAGCCACACACGTTTCGCACAGTCAAGACCGTGATCCGGTTTGTCTTCAGCGTCACCATCCAGATGAAGGTGAGCGAGGTGAGTGACCCGGCGTTGCTGGAGAGATTCCGGGACGTGGACGGGATGGTGCCTGCGAAGGTGCTGCTGCTTGAGCGGACCAAGCGGAACATTCACAAGCTGGACTCCACCGTGAAGGTCCGCTCTGTGCTGCTGTACTACCCGGTGAATGCCGGGCTGCTGGTGACGAACGTGACCATCGTGCTCAACACCTCGCTCCCCACTGTTGTGTCGTCGCTCATGCACACATTCGGCTCTCAGGGCGCCACGGAGGCGGCGCAGACGGCGAAGCAGACGCGCCGGTATCTCATCCACCGATTCGGCGACTCACGATCGTAGTTCTTTTTTTTTTTCTCACTCTCTTCCCAAGTTGTTGCTGTTGTTGGTTTTCGCCCGCGCTTGTCTTTGTATTGTTGTTTACCCGCCCTTTCCCTTGGCATCCGTGTTAGTGCCCCTCCTCTGCCCTCCTTGCGTCCCGCTGCCGCTCCGCCTTCCTTCGCGGCGCGGACGTGCGGGGATTTTTCTCCCACTGACGACGGAGACAGTGCCCCCCGCCCCCCCGCCCCCCGGCTGCGCGATGGTCCTGAGGCAGCGAAAGAAAAGAAA